GGAACCATCATGTAGCCTCTGGAGGAACGCCCAGATTTTCCCTTAAATGTCCCAGGCTAGTCTGAGAATGTTAATGTAGTTTTTGGAGGTGTTAACCTGCTGCCTTCTCAAACCACCAGTGCTCTGATAATAAACGGTTATTTTATGACCCAACTCCTGTTGGTCTGTTGGCTGAGCTGCGCCCGCAGCACGAGCTCCGGACTTGTTTGGCCTCCATTTTCAATTGATGTAAGTAAAGTACCTAGTACAGAGCTTGGCACAGAGTTAGGCTTAAAAAGTGGTAGCTATTGTTATTTGTATAAATAAGGGTAGAATGCAGGCTAGGACCTGTGCAAATCCTACACAACAGTGGGCACATTATGCTGGCTTGAACTTGACCTAAGTGTACTGTAAGCATTCACACACAGCCATTTATAGTTCATCTGTCAGCACATAAAACATGAAACACTTAGTGGGAGACAAAGAAAATACCTATAATGTTTGCCACGTGGGAAAACCTGCCCGGGAATCTAGGGACCTGGGTTCTAAGTTCCGTCCACGCCAGACTCACCTTATGATTTGGAGGTAAGTGTTGCCTTTCTCTGGGCCTCAGTTTTCCCATAAGAAGGTGTTATTCTAGGTCAGATCATGACACTGACTCAGACCAGATTCAGCAAGTTGGTTTTCCTTTTATTTTTTTCCCTCGTCCTGTTGGCCTTCACAGTATTTTAGAGCAATTTGAACTGGTTGCCAACATTTAAATATTGAGAGCTTTCACATAAGACTTGCTACTTCCAGATTCTCTTAAAAATGGGAAGATATGGCAATACAGGACCAGCNGTCCTCCACAACTAGACTGAAGAACAAAAGGACAGCAACTTGTCTGTTCCCCTTCCCCCAATTCCCCAATAAAAATCTTTAAAAAAAAAAAAAAAAGATGGAGGGAGACAACTATGAGTCAAGGAATATGGGTGGCCTCTTGAAGCTGGAAAAGGTAGGGACACAGATTCTCCCCTAGAGCCTCTGGAGAGAAACACAGCCCTGCAGACACCTTCATTTCAGCCTGGTGAAACTTGTGTTGGACTTCTGGCCTACAGAACTGCATAATAATAAATAATAAATTTGTGTTATTTTATACCACTATGTTTGTGGCAATTTGTTACAGCAGCCATAGAAAATGAATATACCACTTTTTCCCTGATTCGCAGAAAGAATTAAGTCAGTGGATAAAATTAAAACTTTTTCCTATAACTTGTCCTTGTCCTGTGATACTGCCACTGCCCTGTCAGCTAGTGAACACTGGAGAGCAACAACAAAACAGAGTGGTGTCCTGCTAGGAGCCCCGCCCATGCCTTCCAGGTGTTCTGCCAAAAAACAAGTTTGAGAACCAGTGACCCAACTACCACAAAGCCTCGGTGAGCACTTGAAGGTGGTGGCTCTGTGCAGACCTGGTTCTCCTGGCAGCTAAAATTGACTGTTCATTCCCATTAGCCAGAAGTTTCCAAAAGTTCCTACTCTGCTGCTGGGTGCCAGGGATACAAAAGCAGACATGGTCCCCACCACCAGGGAGCCCCTAGGGTGATAAACACTGTGATATCAGGAAGTGTGGGGTGACAGGAAACATGGGAAGAAGAATGAGCATCTAAGCCAGATTTATCTTCTGCAAGATGAATGCAGTTATGCAAAGACTACAGGGAGCCTTGTCCACGGATGAGCTGAATTCAAGCACTACCTGCCTAGGTATTGGTTACCTGGGGTTTTCTTCCCTAACTAGCCCATGGAGCTGGATCCGCTTTGCACACTCACCTGTTTCCACATCGTTGGCATTGGCCGAGTCCCTCAGCCTCTTCAGAGCTGTTAAGAGAGGAAGAGAGTGCCAGTTAAAAAAAAAATAACAACAGCCATGATGAAGCAGAAAGCAGATGGCTTCTCAGTTAACCCACCATTCAGCCACAGTAACATCTAAAGGGAAAGAAAGGTGCCAGGATACAAGTAATACCACCCCGGGAACAAGGAGAAACTTGAAACGTGGCACAGCTAGTGCAAAAGCCACATTCTGTAACAATCCTCCAAGGCCTTTGGAGTCAGATATGGGCTCTGCCACTTGTAGCTGCTGGGTGACTTGAGCAAGTTAGTTAACCTGCCTGGCCTCAGGTCTATCATCCCCCAAATAAGGCTGAGCTCTGTCCTGACAGTTCCGAGTCGTTGCAAAGACAAAATGAGATATTTACACGGAAGATCTCTGTGAACTGGTTACACAGATAATCTTACATTCTCCTTCAAGACAGGCCATTCCCAAATGACTTACTTAAATTTGGTAATTCCTAAGCAGAAACATTTTCTCCTACAATGACACTACCTCCATATTAGAGGCTAATAGGAATCAGATAAATGGTCAAAAAGTACAACTCAGATACATAGCGGTTCCTTACATTCATAGTGTACTTTGTGGTTTATATAGCACTCTTAAATTCTCATTTCATCTTTATAACACTACTAAGATACAGGTGGAATCACAGTCCTAGTAGGGACCCTAAAAGTCCCCTTTCTTAAGTCTTTCAGGGTGTTGGTTTCCATGTCATTCACAACTTGTAAAAGACAATATAGTAGGCATACCAGAGCAGGAGCTTGAGTCTGGCAGACCTGGGTTCTAATACCAGCACTTTCTAGCTATGTGGCGTGGAGCTCGGCAATTTCTCTGAGCCTCAGTTTCCTCTTCCATAAACCAGGAAGTATCTGGATCTCAGTGAGCGATTGTGAGGATTAAAAATGATCACATATCACGCAACGGGGTTTGGCACACAAAAGCAGATTAATAGCTATACATGCGTTACCTTGCTTAACTCTCACAACATCCCAGTAAAGCAGGTATTGTACTCATCCTACAGATGAGAAAACTAAGGCTGAAAGGGTCTATAGTTTGCTTAAAGTGGAAATGAGGTGGAGGAGTCCTATCCAGGTCTGTGCATTAAAACATGTTGGTAGGATTTGGCTACAGGCTCTGACTTCCCCTCTCTGATAATAAAAGTATTCCCCAGTACTCCATTGTATTATTTACTAATAAACACCTGGAGTCATGACAAGTTTCTATTCAGGAATTACCAAGTGCGAAAAGCCTAGAGTGACTGGCTCCGAGCAAGAAGCGTTTATTTATTTATTTTTTATTTGTTTTAACGTTCATGGTCCTTAGCCGCTATAATTATTACTACTGAAAGGAGACTCAGGGGTCACTCTGGGCCCTTAGATCAGACGTCGGAGGACTCTAGAATGGAGGGGGCTGGGGAGAGGTAAAGGGGCGGGATTCCCGGCGGAGGGTCAGCCACGCCTCCCGCGCGCTCCTCACCGTGCACCTCCTTGCCGGTGGGCCCAAGCCGGCGGTGGGGCCTGGCGGCGCGCCTCAGCCGGGTGGCGGGGATCTTACAGCACAGCTCATCGCGGGGCTCCGAGTCCTGCTGCCACAGGACATGGAGGTAACGCAGAGGGGACTGGGCCCCGCCGGACGCCCGGCCCGGGAGGCCCGCGCCGCCGCCCAGCGCAGACCCGAAATCGGCGAAGGAGAAGAGGCCCTCGGGGCCAGTCAGCGGCTCCGGCGCCACCGCGCACTCGCCATCCGAGCTCGAGCGGCCCGAGCGCGGCTCGTTGTCCGCGCCCCCGGCGGCGGCTGCCATGGCAACAACTCTGCGCGGGCCTGGCCGCCGGAGCCTCGTTCCCGACCGACCAACCGACCCGCTCGCTTCCCTCCGCTCTAAGCCTCGCTGTCAGCGGGCGAGCAGGCGGGCCCCAGCCTGCAACCACGGTAACCGAGAGAGGGGCGGGTTCTGGTCGCGAGCTGTAGCTCTCCAAACCAATGAAAACCCTTCCAGTCTAACCCTCCCGGCAACCGGGGATAGTTCTGGCAATAGAATTGGTTTCCGGCAGCGTGACTGACGCACATAAGACCCAATCATAAATTTGAAGTGTCCACGGCACCGCCGTACGTTCCTACACCGGAGCCAATAAAACAGCTGAAGTTAAGACACTTTTTTCCCATTTCCTCTGTCGGATCATGGAAAGGTAACGGGCAGATGCTTTAACCAATCACATTAAGATGGTCTACAGCCACTCACAAAAGAAAGTCAAGACTGTAGGGGAAGATAAATATAAATACATTTTAAATCAATGAACGTAAAAAAAGAGCTTTCCACAATTGCATAGTGTAAGTAGGAAAATGATAATATGTTAAAATTTGGGGCTATCACCACTAACCGAGAAGTAATAGCTTTCAAATACGATAGATCCCTTTATTCAGGGTTCGCTCGGTAACCCGGAGTTGACCACTGATTTACAAACAATTTTAATTCAATGTAGCTACACCAGAGCGATGCTTCATTCAGTCCGAGAGCCAGTCACTGAGCCAGATGATTCTCTGTATTAGGCTCTGGACGTAGGATCAGACTTCATTCCCCCTGAGATGGTCACAGTCCTATGGGAGAAGTCAGAGCCAGAAAACAGGGAAATATCCCGCAAGCAGGTAATGATGAGCAACAGTGCAACTGGGTGCACTGTAAGAATTTTCACAACCCTGTACCTGAGGAAAGAATAAAGAATATATAAAATGAAATCACTAACCAAGCTGCTACAAATTATAAACATTAATGAAGGTTGAAGCTTGAGGAAAGACTCTATTCTTGCTATAACTAGCCTGGTAATAACTTTTTAAACTTTCCAGTCCTGTGTCAATGCCTGGCTATACATCTGGACATACACCAGACCCCCAGATAACCCTCTGATTATCCCTACTCCCACCCCCACCCCCCACAGACTCACATATCCAGACTACCTGACATGTCCAGACTGCCTGGCATCTGACTGATAACCCTCCTGGACCAATCAATCCTAGTGAAACAGGGCCTGGTTGGGGCTCCGACAAAAGAGTCCTCGCCTCTCCCTGCCCTAGAGCTTAACAATTGATCAACCCCCTACCTGCGGTTTGAGCTTGGAATGTCCCCGTCCCAGCTCCCA